CGAGCAGGGAGCCCGATGTGGGACTCGATCCCGGGACTCCAGGATCATGACCTGAGCCGAAGGCAGTCGCCCAACCAACTGAGCCACCCAGGCGCCCCCCAAATATATATATTTCTTAACAGAAGAACTCTTTGCAAGTATAATCATTAATATGAGCACTCAATAAATAGATCTCTACAAGTGCTCAAGTCATTTCTCTCATTGGACTGATATTTATTAAGCACCTGATGTATGCTACACACCATGCTGGGCATTAGGAGACAATGACTTCGTCTTTCTGCAGCTTACAATACCATGCAAGAGCCAGACATGAATCAGCTCTTCACGCAGTAAATATAAAATTAAAACAGCAATGAGTGCTAAAACCTAGAGGTAGATGGTGCTACTAGAGCGTTGTTTTTCTTAAACTGTTTTAAAAATCTATCTGTATGGTGGGCAAACCCAACATTGTTGAATTCTGGCCTACGGCAGAGAAAGCTCAAATCAAAGAACCAAGATCAACATTTGGCAGGCACAACATGACCAAGCAAACTCGGAGGTACCTGGTCAAAAAGGTGCCTGATTCAATTTAAATATATTTATTCAGCATCTATGCTGTGTAAGACATAAACTTTAATGTGCATGAGAATTCCTTGGGGATCTTGTTCAAATATAGACTCTGCATCTGTAGGTCCAGGGTGGGGCCTGAGAGCATGCATTCCTAACAAGCTCCCAGGGGATGTTGATCCTTCTGGTCCACTGATCACACCTCCGTAGCCCCAGTTCAGACCAAGATGCTGAACTAGAATGACTGCTGGCTCCTCATCCCCACTCCTCCAGCCCTATCCATACCACGAGAATAAAAATCTAGAGAGAAAGTTGTGAGAAGCTTCTGAGTTTACAGGGGCTGTTTTGGATTGGTGTTTGTGGAGTGCTGGCTTTGTCTGGGGCAGGACCCAGCCCAGCAGGGTTGTGAGAAGATAGAACAGAACAACTGGTGAAATTCCGCTCCTGTCTCCCCCAGCCCTCCCCTCATCACTTGGTGGCAAACAGTGCAAATACCCCTCCTGCTGAGACCTAGAGATTGGTGCAGGTGTGCTCAGAAGAAACAAAAACATGGGGGAACCAACTGACCCATGGAAATTATTTTCCATATCCCTTCTGCTTCAAACTCCCAGAATTACAATCTCATCATGATGACGGGTCTCAAATCTGGCTGCACATGGAATCACCTTATATTTTTTTAAAAGATGTTGTTTATTTATTTGACAGAGAGAGACACAGTAAGAGAGGGAACGCAAGCAGGGGGAGTGGGAGAGGGAGAAGCAGGCTTCCCACTGAGCAGGGAGCCCAATGTGGGACTTGATCCCAGAACCCTGGGATCATGACCTGAGCCAAAGGCAGATGCTTAACCGACTGAGCCACCCAGGAGCCCCTTGTTTTTTAAATTCTGATATGTGCTATTTACAAGAGAGAGACATGCTTCAAACATAAGGATTTGCAAAGGTTGGAGATAAAAGAATGGAATATTAGGCAAATATTAACCAAAAGAAAGCTGACTTAGCTATATTCATTCCAGAAAATACAGTCTTTAAGTAGAGAGCATTATTAGGAATAGAAGAGTTCCCTCAGACACAGCAATTCCATTTCCCACCTGTAAACACAAGGGAAAAGCACACCCCTGTGGAATGAGAGATGCCAACAGACCGTGAAGTGGCCCCACCATGCCTGCTTCCTGACACTTCTGCCCCCGGCCAATCACCTCCCTTTCAGTATGAGCAGGACCCACACTTGCTTTGAACCAGCAGAAGACGGCAAAGGTGATGGGATGTCACCTCTGTGATCTTGTTGCATAAGACTGTAACGTTTGTCATGCTAGCAGGCTCTCCCCTCTTGCTGGGTTTGATGAAGTGACCGTGCTAGGGAGCAGCTGAGGGTCACGTCTGACTGACAGCCAGCCAGAAACTGAGGCCCTCAGTCTGACCACCTGCAAGGACCTGAATCCTACCAGCAACCACAGGAGCTTGAAAGTGCTTGAAATCCTTCCCCGTCAAGCCCTGAGACTAGCCCACGGTCCTGCCTAACTCCTGGACTGCTGGCTTATGAGGACTTGAAGCAGAAGAGAAGCCGTACCTAGACTCTCAGCGCACAGAAACTGCAAGGTAACAAATGGGCGTTATCCTAAACCACTAAGTGTGGAGTAATATTGTTATGCAGCAATAGATAACACAAGAGACACACACAAGAATGTCAGTAGTAAAACTAAACTTTAGAAAAATCTGGAAACAGCCAAATGCCTATCAATAGAATGTGCTAGAATATTACATTCACAACCAGATGTCACAATAGGAATAAACCTTAAAACTATGAAACTAAGTGAAAAAAAATCCCCCAAAAGATTGCCTTAGCATGATACCCTTTCAGAAAGTTAAAAACAATTAAATCAATGCATTTTGATGTAATTGTTTAAATCAAAAACAAATTAAAATAAAAAAATATTATTTATAAACTTAAACATTTAAAGTCCTGATAAAATTAAACAGCGTTCTTATAAAGTTATACATAAACTCATCAGATGATCCAACAATACCATTCCCGGGTATTTATTCAAAAGAAATGAAAACATGTATCTACCCAAAAACCTATATGTAAATGTTTATAGCAGCTTTATTCATAATTGCCAAGAACTGGAAACAACCCCAATGTCCTCTAAGTGGTGAATGGAGGAACATACAGCCCTCACGGAATGCTCAGCAACAACTAACACATGCAACAACAAGGTGAATCTAAAATGCATTACACCAAGTGGAAGAAGTCTGATGCAGAAGACTACATACCATGTGATTCTGTGTATGACTTGTTAGAGGAGGCGGAACTATAGAGATAAGAAACTGCTCAGTGGTTGTCAAGAGCCCGAGGTGAAAAGAGGAAGGGACAGACAACAAGGGGCAAAAAGAAACTTTTGGGAGAGAAGGAACTGTTACATATATCGATTTCAGTGGTTGATATATAACCGTATTCATTTGTTAAACTCATAAAATTATACACTAAAAATGGTGAATCTTGCTGTATGCAAATTATTCCTCAAATATATATAATATATAAATATATATGCTATATAAACATACATAATACATGGGGCGCCTGGGTGGCTCAGTCATTAAGCATCTGCCTTCGGCTCAGGTCATGATCCTGGAGTCCCGGGATCGAGTCCCGCATTGGGCTCCCTGCTCAGCAGGGAGTCTGCTTCTCCCTCTGGCCCTCCCCCCTCTCATGCTCTCTCTATCTCATTCTCTCTCTCAAATAAATAAATAAAATCTTTAAAAAATAAAAAATTAAAAAAACATACATAATACATAGATAATATATATTCAAGTATCTATAGTTAAGTGCCCTTTTGACAATCCATTGAACCAGATCCTCCACCCTGCCATGCCCTCCAGCCCTACCAACATCCCATAAGAACACAATGAGAAGTTGTGCCATGGGAAATGTTACGGTTAAAATTTCCCTGGGTGCGCCTGGATGGCTCAGTTGGTTGAGCACAGGACTCTTGATTTCGGTTCAGGTCATGTCTCAGGGTCGTGAGATGGAGCCCAGTGGGCTCCAAGCTCAGCAGGGAATCTGCTTGGGATTCTTTCCCCACTCTGTTCCTCCCCCGCCACCCCCCTGGAGAATGGCCTTGAAAGAGCATGGGGGAAGGGGGAGAAGGGAAAGTTTCAACAATCCAGGTGATATATATAAAAAGGAGTCAGGAGAATGAAGGAGTGAACATTGCTTTCTTTGCCTTATTGATGGGGGATATTTCCGATCTTACAATGATAAACGTCATTCTGCTCAAGGCAGGGAGTTACTGAGTCATTTGTCCAACCACCTGCAATACAGAGGGACCCCTCCCCAGACCAGCAGCCCTATTTGGCCCAGACTCCCTTTGCCTTGGAATGCACCGATAAATGGCCCATTAGCAGCCCACAAAGAGATTAAGAAACAATTTCATTTAAGAGAATGCAGTTTAACAAAACGATCCTTGAATCAGAATGTTCTGTTTCTGCTATCTTTCATGAACCAAAGGAGCAGGGGTTTTGAGGTCACGGTCAGCCTGACCATATTTTGTTCTTATCTCCCTATTTTCTACTCCATAATGAAATTTAAATAGCTTGCTATCGCTAAGTAAATAATTGGCGCCATAACAGCCTTCTGGAAGCTTTTAATTGTGTCAAACCAGCGCTTCAATTCTAAACATTCCTTACAACCGAGTGATATTGAGAGCTTTGGGTGTCTTCTTGGCAGATGCAGATAGGAACACAAAATGGGATAAGAAAACCGGAACTTCACATTCATCTTCACAGGACTCCTTTATTCAAAGATCATAAAATGCCTGAGGCAATGCCTTCAAATTGGTGGAGGGGAAGGGAGGAGGGTCTGAATGAGAAGCAGAAAGTCTGAATTGTAGTCCCTTGCAGGCTCGTGCCCAGCTTTGTGATTTGAGACAAGGCAGTTAACAACCTCTTTGGACCTCATTTTCCTCCTGCGAACGCCTGCCTCTGTAGCCGGGGTATCCCCTCTTCCAGGTCCCAGGTCAGGTGCTCTAGCAGGCAACAGGCATACTCCCAAAGTTCCAGGATGGGAACTCCCCATTCACCTACGTATACAGGAACACATCCAAAGGTCCGCTTTGGTCTTAAGCGTTCCAGGGACATCGTGGGGAAGTGTGCCCACAGGGTGACACAAGAAAGACCCCAGCTCAATGTAACCCAAGATAAAGGGTCACCCCCCACCCAGACAAAGGTTTCCATGGTTGGGTATGATTGGAAACACCAGGTGAAACAAATCAAACAGATTTTTTTTTATCTTGGCACTTTCAAGAGCCTTTATTTGCTCATGTGCTTTGAGACTTTCCTAGAAGGAGGGACAGAAGTATTTGACCAATTAATCTGCTTTCCACAGATCAATATCAGGGCTGGCATGCCTTAGAAACACTGGTCCAAATGTATGCTGCTGCTTATTTTTCATTCATTGTCCTCTACTCGGGGTGTACCCAGCCCTGGCTTCAGAAGCCTGTTAACCTGAGGTATGCCTGGCTGGCTCAGTCATTAAGCGTCTGCCTTCGGCTCAGGTCATGATCCCAGGGTCCTGGGATTGAGCCCCACATCGGGCTCCCTGGTCAGTGGGAAGCCTACTTTTCCCTCTCCCACTCCCCCTGCTTGTGTTCCTGGTCTCATTGTCTCTCTCTCTGTCAAATAAATAAAAAATCTTAAAAAAAAAAAAAAAAGAAGAAGAAGAAGCCTGTTACCTGGGCCTCATCACCAGAGATTCGGCTTTAATTGGTCTGAGGGGTGGGGCCTGCGCACAGGTCCCCCAGGATTCTAACCTGCAGCTGCGGTGAAGAATCAGGGAGCATGGGAAGGTGCCTCCTCTTTGTAGAGCATAAAAGGGGAGCACATCCCCACCCCTAGGTCAATACTGGGGAGGAAACCCAGAGAAAAGTTCATCTCTCCACCTTGAGTCAAAAAACACAAGATCCCAAGCCCCTGCCTACCAGGAGGATCTCCTTGGAAAATCATGAATGAGGAAAGCAGCAGTTTCTAGCAGTTACTTACTCAATTGGGATTCTAACTCTAATCATCTCTCTTAAAACCCTGTGGATTTTTCCTTTCAAAATGGAAATAATTTTACTGATTTTCTGGTTGTAAATTTAATGCCTGTTCATTGTGGGGGGAAAAACCCACATAAAAGTGTAAAGTAAATAAACAACTGGGCGCCTGGGTGGGTCAGTTGGTTAAGTGACTGCCTTCGGCTCAGGTCATGATCCCAGGGTCCTGGGATCGAGTCCCACATCGGGCTCCCGGCTCAGC